AATTAGTTTAGACTTGAATTTCCTGCTACAATTAACGTACAATTATCTCCTGTAAGGACACTCATCTTTCCTTGTTAATCTAACATAAGCACTGTGAAGCAGAGAAGGCTATGTAGTGGACAGATGAGGCTCTGCAGAATGCTACTGAATTATGAAAAATACTTGAATTTCATTAGCTCCCATGAAGTACAAACAATGCTTAAGCATAGAGAACAAGGTCAGGTGTTCCTTAGTATGTGGAACACACTGATGTGTATATGTTGTCTTCACATTTTTTTAATACAAAAGACTTAAGTGTAAAAACAAAATGAAGCGACAAAAACATGAATCCATTGATGACCTTTCTGCCTTTAAATCTTCATGTGTGTTTGAGAAGCCTTGTTCCAGTCTGTTTAAAATCAAAAGGAAATACTTGTTGAATTAACCATGGTAGGAAGCAAAGTCTAGCTTCTGCTGCAGGAGAATCAGGGGAGGAGTTAAATACTTAAGGAATCTGAATATTCATAGTGTCTGGCTGGTTTTGTTTGCTGTATTTCATTTAATCTGTTTTCCCGTTGGGGTAAATAAGATCCCAAATCAGAGCCTGTTTTCCAGAGCAAAACTACTTTCACATGGTCTTGACTTTGTGTTTCAATAATCTCCTTTAAATGTTTTACCATGGTATAATATTTAAATTAGAATGATTTACATAGCTATTTATATTTTTGAGAGTATAAAATGACCGTGAATGATCATTGTTCCAGAATACTGCAACCCTATTACTCTTCAGATGTCCCCACCTCCCCTTGTTCTGGGTTAAGTGAGTTGGAACTTTTACCACACCCTGTTGTGTATTCAGGGAGGAACATCTGAGCTCTCTCCACTTCTGCTCTTTGTAAAAGCAGAAGATAATCTTGACTTGCCAGGATGCCCATCTATGATTCACATTTTATTTGGGAAAGGATAAGGAAGGTCAGGAATTCCAAAGATAAAAATTTGTGGAGGGTTGATACGCAAATGTGAAATCTTCTTCATCATACCATGTTCAATCCACAGTTTGGCATAGGTTAGCCAGCCCTCATTAGGTCAGAGACTGAGATGTAGCATCCTAGATCAGAAAATTCCAAAGCAGCCCATTTGCCCCTTAAGAACCCCCAAATCCCATTCTAATCTATATATGTTTAATTCTTGAACACATAGGTTTTCTTCACTGTTAGTGTAATGTCTCATCTTTTATCAAGCATACTGGAGAAAGGGATTTCTATAGCATTATTTCGCTTTCTAACTGTTCAATTGGTTCCCCCCTTTCCCCCTCCCCCTTTCCCTCCCCGCTTCTCTCCCTTCCCCTTCTCCTCCCTCCTCCCTGTTCTCTTTTCCCCCTCTCCTCCTCCCTCTCTTCCTCCCTCTGCCCCCTCTCCTTTCCACTTCTCTTCCTCTTCCCTCTTCCCCACCCTCACCCCCACCCTCTCTCCCTCCCACTTTGTCCCACTTTTTTTCTTATTTTCTCTTTCTGATAGTACCACGCCTTGAGCTCAGGGCTTTGAGCTTGCTAGGCCCGTAGCCCCATGTTAAGTGGCTTGCTGGTTACTAATAGGCCCGTAGCCCCATGTTAAGTGGCTTGCTGGTTACTAATAGGAATAAACTTCTGTTTCTGTTTACCTAAGTTTTTTCAGAAAGTAGTATGTCAGGATGAAAACTATGAACACGAGATGAGCTGTGAATTGCATGAAGTCCAAGCTACTAGTTTGTTATAAATGATTTCTTTTGAACAAGGTATGCTTTGAAACAAATTTATAGCATATTTGTGGAACCAATGAATGATAAACAATATTTGTGTACCTGAGATACCACCTTACCCCCGTCAGAATGGTCCATATCCTAAAGTCAGCCAACGACAAATGCTGGAGGGGAGGCAGAGAAAGAGGAACCCTATTACACTGATGGTAGGAATGTACATTTATACAACCACTTTGGTAAGCAGTCTGGAGGGTCCTCAGAAAGCTAAATATTGACTTCCCCTATGACCCAGCCATATGTATATAATATTGACTCAAATTATGAAGAAAAAACCAAAAAATTAATTAATGAAGTCATCACCATAATAACATGATTTGGCATATCATAGCTACCAAACAAATATTTGTTTTTGCAAATTCTTTATTGTGATCAAGTGATTACATAATTTCACAAATTTAACAGTATTGTGGGATAGTAATGCTTAGTTAAAGTCACAAACATGCCTGTAAACCTAGCTACTCAGGAGGCTGAGATCTGAGGATGGCGGTTCAAAGCCAGCCCAGGCTTTGAAAGTCCATGAGACTCTTATCTCCAATAAACGAATAGAAAACCAAAGTGATGTTGTGGCTCAAGCAGTAGAGCGCTCACCTTGAGCTGAAGAGCACAAGGACACCGCCTAAGCCCAGAGTTCAAGCCCCATGATCGACAAAAAAAAAAGTCACAAACTCATTATAACTTTCATTGGGCAAATTGTCTATCGTGGTCTATAAAGTTTATGAGTTCTATGAGCTTTGACAATACAGTTATTTCTTCCACATCGGGTGATATGTACATTTTTTTTCCTTTTGCATAGTGTCAGCTGTTCCCTCTTTCCCACTCATTCCCTCCCTCCCATTGCTGCCATTGAGTTGCTTAGTTCATTTTGATCAATGTCCAGTGCAGGTAATGGGTCCCACTGTTGTATGTTTTTGCCTGATTCCCTCTAGTTCTGTGTCCTCCTCCTAGTTTCCCTCCAGTGTGCACATATATATCATATATGTGATCAGCAGCATGGGGTTATTTAGTAGTGATACAACCAGCTAAGTGGAGGTCCTTTGTTTCTCAAGTCTTCTTAACTGTCATATCACCTTACATTTTAGATTTAACACCCATTTATCAGGGAGACCATATGCATTTGTCTCTTTGCTCTTGGCTTACCTCGTTCAACATGATTTCTTCTAGTTCCATCCATTTCCCTGCAAATGCCATTATTTTGTCCTTTCTAATGGCTGCGTAATATTCCATTGTGTATAGATACCACAATTTTTGGATCCATTTATCTGTGGTGGGGCATCTAGGTTGTTTCTATATCCTGGCTATTGTGAACAGTGCTATAATAAACATGGAGGTGCATGTGTCCTGTATACTGATTCCTGTTGTTCGGGATAGATGCCTAGAAGTGGTATGGCTTCAAATCCCTTGGACAGAGCATCCAAATGACAAAAGTATAGACACCAGTGCTAATTTGTAGAAGACCAATAACATGATAGATGCTGGTGGCTCAAGTGTTTTAATTTCAGTTCTCTTGCTCACCACTGGTTCTCCAACTTCATGTTTCAGTACTGGCATGTTTATGCGTGCGTGCGTGTGCGCGTACACACACACACACACAAGAAAATATCAAATTTGTTTTAAATTTTATCTTTTTTATTTGGAAATTAATTTAGATGCATGTCACATATACATAATTGATCCTTTAAAAGGTTAAATACCCTTCGTTTATGTATGGGTAGTGATATGCCCATGAAGAGTTCTGAATCATTATGGCTCTGGCTTTGTTTTACATAATTCTAAAGTAAATGTCATGTTTCTTCTTTGGGAATTCCAAGACTGGCATTCAGAAAAGCATATGTTTCCAAGTAGATAGCTGGGCAAAGGAACTATACTTTCCTTGAACAGAAGGGCCATTCATGTAAGTGAGTACACTAAACTTTACAAAGCAGACTGCCAGTAAATTCTTTTTGGAATTGAAATGCAATAACATATTGAGGACAAGTGCTAAATATAAATAGAAAAGACCAAATACATCCCTTTATTTATTTTCTTGCTTTGTTTTAGCAGTATATTTGCAGAAGAATTATCCACCTCAAATACCATAATCCTTAATTGAAACACATGCAACTTGGTGGTCTTTCAGCATCTTTCTCCAGGAGCTAATTGTAATTCTAAAAGACTGGTCTTTTCTTAGGTCCACAAGCAATTACAAAAGTACAAAATAAATTTAAAAATCATGTCTCTAAGAGATACATGGAATCTTACTATCCATGCCATAAATATGAGAGGGGGGGAAAAGACAATATTTTGCCTAAGGATAAATAAAAAAGTGGCAAAAATTCTTATATTCAGTTTATAAGTTTCTTTTTTGGGGAAGAAAGAAAATACAGTATGTATGGTACACAGAAACACTTTCTGTGGATGAATGGTCCAAAGTGTTGTTTTGTATTTAAATATTATATAATATCAGAGTATATTAGATTTCTCAATATTTGTAATTTTCTGTTTCTAACACATCTGTAAACTAAAACATTATAATCTTTGTAATGTACCTACCAATGACCTGTAAGCATTATCTTGACTCATCTTGCGATCATGTGAAGACTGATTTATTAGATACCAGTAGATTTTAGTATCTGCTTGAGTTGGCTTTCAAGGATGTGGTAGGTGAGAAGTGTAGCACAATCACACCCCAAAAGTGATCCTTAACAATGATGAGTGGATGTTGGTGAATAAATAGTTTCTTTAGTGAGTTGTGTTTTCCATAGTTACTTTTAGGACCCAGGAATGGAATAGCCTTAGTTGCTATAGCCCTAGATTCCCTTTAACAGGTCCTTTCTTCACTGTCTTTTCCCAGTTCTTCACTTACTTCCTGGACTTATCTACCAAGTAACCTAGATTCAAGCCTTGATCTTTTCAGAAAATCAAACAAGCAAACATGTTCATCTACAGATGAGGTTAAACCAGGATATGAACCAGAAGCCAAAAGCATCATCCCTAACTGCCAACCACATAAGTGCCTCAAAATAAGCTGATCAACTCTCAAAGTCAAAGCCACCATTCAATATGTTAAAGCAATTCGTCTTCTGCTTGTCATTCTCTGTGTACATGTATCTCCATTTCACGTAGAACATCAGGACAAACCTTTTAATCACCCTTAGCTAAACACATATGCATATAACTTGTTACTGAAACTGTGATTTAAAGAAAAGTTGTACAGTGCTGAGTATGTTCTTCTCATGTTTCTGCAGATAGCAATTTCATCCTGGCTAATGCACAAGTGGCAAAAGGCTTTCCCATAGTCTACTGTTCGGATGGCTTCTGCGAGCTTGCTGGATTTGCCCGAACTGAAGTCATGCAGAAGAGTTGTAGCTGCAAGTTTTTATTTGGGGTTGAAACCAATGAGCAACTGATGCTTCAAATAGAAAAGTCACTGGAGGAAAAGACAGAATTCAAAGGAGAAATTATGTTCTATAAGAAGAATGGTGAGTTGGTTTCTTTGGTATACGGGAGAATATGAGAGATTGCCTTGCTTTCCTTCAGCTAAGTAATTACTCCAAAAGTTCCATTAATGAGATTTCTCATACACACACACACACATACACACACACACACACACACACACACACACACACACACACACACAGTCTCTAATAGAAGTTCTACAAAGGACTTGGATGATGGCCTTCTTTTAGCCATTCACAGCATAGACCAACTGGAAATTTATCATTAGATTTATAATATTAGTTCCTATGCTGACATGGAGTAAATCCAAGTTAATATATATTGCATTTTATATATAATAATGTATTATATATTATATGAATGGAGTATATTATTATTACATTATAGCAGTTCTTTAACATGTATTTTGTTGGTGTTAACACGTTGAGGTATTTTTTCAAATTTTATGTGTTTAAGAACTCTACTTAAATCCCAGGCATTAAGAACAGAGTTCGATAATTCAGCAGTGATACTCACTAGACACTAGGAAGGAAAACCTGGGAAGAAACAAGGGAAGAGGTGACAGTTACAAAAAGAAATTTATTCATTACCTGACTCATATAAAGAAAGCTCTGAGTACATTACCTTTCCAATTAAAAAAAAACCAACAATGGTTTTTTTAAGGGTCACTAACAGAAAGTTACTTTAAAGGATATCACTGTATGCATTTCATTTCTAGTTCCCTTGGTAGAGTTTTTCTTATTATTCTCTTAAATTCTTAAGGACAAAAGAAAACACACTGGTCTCTCAGGGAAGAGTAGATGGCTAAGAATCAAGACTACCAGTAGAGAAGTACCAAGTATTTTTTTTTCTTTTTTGTCAGTCCTGGGGCTTGAACTCTGGGCCTGGGCACTGTCTTTGAGCCTCTTTGTGTTCAAGGCTAGTTCTCTACTACTTGAGCCACAGTGCCACTTCCAGCTTTTTCTGAGTATTTATTGGCAATAAGAGTCTCATAGACTCTTCTGATGATGTTGAACCATGACCCTCAGATCTCAACCACCTAAGTAGCTAGGATTACGGGCATGAGCCACTGGTATCTGGATTACAGGCATGAGCCATCCATTTCTGGCTCAAAGTATTTTCTTGTTGCTGCAGTTTTGTGACACTTTCCAAAATGAAAGACAGTCTGTAGAGATGTATGTTGTCTATAGTGTCTACATCTCATGAGATAACAGACATCATTCAGGTATGGTATTTACAGGTAATCTAAGAGACAATATATAGGATAAATGTAAAACACTAATTAGAAGAAACCATCATTTCTCAATATTCCAAATTCTTCCTTTTCCTCATTAACATAACCCCATACGTTTTAAATGAATATATGCCTATCAAACTAGAAAAACTACTAGCAGCCTTCTTTGTACTTAGGAGGGGCAGGCATGTAAGAAAGTTTAAAGACAATTGTATTAAAAAGGGAATGGTCTATTTTACCTAGACCTGTGATCTGTTGCTTATGTCTGTGATCTATGATCTAGGCAAAAACCCTAAAAGTGAAAGGATCTTCCCTCAAATTTTCTTTGCTTTTTTATGGCATTATTCACAGAATTGTCTTGTCCCCCCAAATTTCATATGTTGGAGCTATAATCCTTATTGAGATTGTTTGGTGATAAAATGTCTAAGGAGGTAATTAAGATTTAATGAAGCTATAAGACTGTTTTTTCTGTTTATTTTTATGTTTTTGGCAATATTGTACTATGAATTTAACTCAAGGCTTTGCGTTCAGGACCCCTCTTCCCACTTGAAAATGACTCTACCTCTCTTTTTGTATTGATGACTTTTTTTTTGCTGGTCTGGGGGCTTAAACTCAGGGCCTGGGCACTGTTCCTAAGCCTTTCTGTGCTCAAAGCTAGCACTCTATCACTTGAGCCACAGTGCCACGGCTGTGTTTTTTTGAGTAGTTTATTGGAGATAAGAGTCTCATGGACTTCCCTGCCTGGGCTGGCTTTGGACTGCAATCCTCAGGTTTCAGCTTCCTGAGTAGTTAGAATTACAGGCATGAGCCACCGGTGCCTGGCTGTATTGATCGTTTTTGAAGTAGGGTCTTGCTTTATGCCTGAGCTGGCTTAGGCTTCTAATTTGTGCTTCCTATGTCACTGGGGATGACAGGTATATACCATTGTGACTAGTCATTGCTTTCTCCAGACCTGCCATAGCAAGCATGCACCACTGTATTCAGCCATTGGTTGAGATGGAGTCTCATGAACTTTTAGAGGAGCAAGGGTGGGGAGCTGGTCTGGACTAGCCTTAAATTGTAATACTGCAATAATCCTAAACTCTACCTCATGAATATCTGCAGTGGCAAGTTTGGTCAACTAGGCCTGCCTAAGAGTGTATCTTAATCCACTATTACCTCTGTCCATCCAAGAAGTTAAAGGGGCACCAGAAACATGGAGAGATGTAAGGGTACATCAGGAAGATAGTTCCCTGCAAGCCCAAGAGAGAGGCCTCAGCAGAAATGAATTGTACAGGAACCTTAATTTTGAACTTTTGACATTCAGAACTGTGAGGAAATAGATTTCCTGTTGTTTAAGGTACCCAGTCTGTGGCATTTTGTTCATGGCAGCCCTAGAAAACTAAAGTACATGGATCAGAAAAGTAAGGCAAAGCTGGAAAGCCAGCTTTAAACATTGGACAAAGGCAATGCCATAGTGGAATTTAGAACTGGGGCATATTTACAGATCCACCTTTCAACCTCAGATAAAAACTTAAGACATTTCTGTTTTGAGTTCCTGCATTTGGGATCGCTGAGGATGTTTTACGGTGGTTCTTTGTTGTTGGGTTCTCTCCTGTGTTTGTAAGTGATGAGTCGCATCCTGGACTTTCTATCTGAACTCTCCATTCTTTGAGGACATTGAGGGAGAGGCGGACAAAAGGAGGTTGCACATGGAGGCTTCATCAGCATTGATAGTGCGCTTATCCTTACAGGACATTGCCTGTTCCTGTGGATTTGGGGTTACACAATCATTGTGACATACTGGAAAACACCCTTCTGGAACAAGATGCCCTCATTCCTTGGCACCAGGGACATGGTCAGACCACCATGTTCCTCTCAGCGTCAATAGATAAGGCCTACCTAGCAAATAGGATAAAATAAAAAGATTCGAGTTCTGTGTAATTATGCCATAATCATTGAAAAGAGAGCCCGAGATAAAAGAAGATGCCGACTGGCAGGGAGTGATTTAAAAAAGGAAAACCCACACCATCCTGTGGAACAAAGCAGAAAGGATATTTTCTTTTTGTCTGCAGTATCCACTGACTACACACTCATTCTCGTACAAGGTAGATAGAACTCTCGTGTAGGGCACTCCAAATCCATTTGAGTATCTTGCTTTTTATGCTACTCTGGAATATCTAAATATGCTACGTGAGACAGGGTGCAGGACAAGGTGGAGAAAAGAGGCACCAAGAACAAAGGCTGGAAGGACCTTGAAGGCGCAAGTGGGAAAAAGTGCCAAGTGGATGATGGGAACCAAAACTCAAATGACTTTCCTAAACCCAATTACTTATTAGCTGCCTGCAGCCTTGGACTCATGTGGGTGGAATTCATTCATGGCACCAGTCCCCTCTGAGCAGCCACTGTGGGGAATTGTCTGACATTCTGAGCAAACTAATTGATCCAGTTACAAATGATTGAAAATTGCTATCTACTCTATGCTAATCATGAGGTATTATAGCTATTTATATGAATATCTGTCTCTTCATGCAATTGTGAGCCTTTGAAAGCACAGGCTATATTTCTCACTGACTTCCACAGACCCAGGGCCTGGAGACGTGAGTCTTGATTTGCATTTGCTGGATGGTTTGCTAAATGTTTGCTGAGAGGAACTGAAATGGGTTGTTAGAGGGACTTAGGCATACATGCCAGGATGTCTGGTTTGTTTTTTGTTTACTTTTTTTTTTGTCGGTTGTGAGTCTGAATGCTGGGCCTGGGCGCTGTCCCTCAGCTCTTCAGCTCAAGGCTAGCGCTCTACCACTTGAGCCACAGTGCCACTTCTGGCTTTTTCTGCTTATGTGGTGCTGAGGAATCAAACCCAGAGCCTCATGCATGCAAGGCAAGCGCTCTTCCACTGAGCCACCTTCCCAGACCCTGGTGTTTTTATTTAAAAAAAATTATGATTACCAGGCTCTTCTTTTTCTCTTACAAGGATCATTTTCTTTTTTTCTGCTTTAAAAAAATCTAAATAAATTCTTTTTTTAAAATTAACTTTATTGTCAAAGTGAGGTACAGAGGGGTTAGTTACATATGTAAGGCAGTGAATACATTTCTTGTTGAATTTGTTACCCCCCCACTCCCCCTCCCTAAGTTGTGCAGTTGATTCCCAACATATTGTCTTGTGAGTATTGCTGTTCATTTAATGTGGTTTAGGAAGCTTCCATAACAACTCCTCTTGGTCAACTGGTTAGTGACCAGCCTATCTAGCTGATGCTCCCCATGGCTGTATGCAGCTGAGATTTGTGATTTAGTGATAGTTCCCCAAATGGCTTCACTTCTCCATGTTTCTTGTGATTATTTTCCATCTCTGTCAATCATCACCTCCTCTTTGATGATGTCCCTGGTCAAGGCATTCACTGTTGGGTTTTTCTATCATTTTCCTCTCTCTCCTAGGGTTAGTAATAGGTGAGGATGCTTATCCTTTTTGCTGCATAGAAGCAGTGTGAGTTTTTAAGAATACGTTCCTGGGCTGGGAAGGTGGCTCAGTGGTAGAGCGCTTGCCTTGCATGAATGAGGCCCAGGGTTCGAGTCCTCAGCACCACATAAGCAAAAAGAAAAAAAAAGCCAGAAGTGGAGCTGTTGCTCAAGTGGTAGAGCACTAACTTTGAGCTGAAGAGCTGAGGGATAGCACCCAGGCCCAGAGTTCAGGCCCCACAACTGGACCCCCCCCCAAAAAAAGAATACATTCCTGTGTACTATCACCTTTCCTCAAAAGCAAAAAGCCACTTCTATACTGGTACAGTCAGCCTGACAAACAGCTTCTCTTCATGAGTCCCAAAATAAGGAGAGACATTTGTTTTTGATTTTTGTTTTCTGGAAGGAGCAACAAACAAACAAAAAAACCCTATTTCTTGCATTTCTTGCTCCCTCAAGCTGAAATAGACACTCCGGGATATTTGTTTCCTCCTTCTCTCTAGCTTCTCAGATAAATTTTAATGGTGGTTAGTTGTGTCCTCTCTATATCATGGAAGATAGATTTGCTTGACTACTCCCATCCCTTAAATGTTCTTTTGAACATTGTTCCTCCACAGATAACGTCTCCTCCAGTCCTTTCTTAAGTAGTTTCAACACCATTACTTGCCTTCCTTGGGGATCCCTGCCTTCTTGGTGTCCAGGAATAGAAAATCTATTGAAGAAGTAAAACTTTCGGAAGAAATTAAAATAATTTATTATAATTTTATGAAAATGTGTTCCTGGAACATTAGGTTTTAGGGCTATTATATGTATTTATATATGTATGTATATTTATATATTAAAAGTGCTACAAATTAAGTGACTTAAACATCAGAAATGCATCATTTCTAGCTAGACATGCATGGTTCATGCCTATAATCTTAGTACTCCGGAATCTGAGATCTGAGGATCATTATTCAAATTTGGCCTGGATAGGCACATCTGTGAAACTCCTATCTCCAACTAACCAGAAAAGAACTGGAAGTTGGGGTATAGCTCAAGTGCTAGCGTGCCAGCTTTGAGTGAAAAACAGTGTTTAGGACCTGAGTTCAAGTCTTAGCACTGGCACAAAATATAAAGGGATAGGGACGGGGAGGAAAAGAATATCCTCTCACAGCTCTGGAGGCTAGAAGTCCAAGATCCAGTTTTCTACTGTGTTGTCCAGGTGTCCTGTGGAGGAATGTGCTCTTTGTGTTTGGTGGGAACCATTGGTATCAGTTATCTATAGAAGCATCAGTCTGATGTCTGCCTGTGGCTTCACAGACTTCTCCCTGCATGATGTCTAGATCTAAATTTTGCCTATTACCCTAATCCTCATTTGTATCTTTACAGAAGCTGCTTGCGAGGCTAACTTACTTATAATAAGATTCTATTTCCAAACACGGTCATAGTATAGCATAGTTAGATTGGAACTCTAACACATGTGGGAATGTAACCGAGCCTTTGGTTACATTCACTATATGAGAAGTTCAGTTACCTGCTCATGATCATCTAGTAAAGAAGCAATTATGCACAAGCAAAGAGGCTTGCTTCCTCTTGTTCTGAGAGTCCTGTATTCTCTGTGGAAATAGGGATGATCCCACTCACTTCCCAGGAGGACTTTGCAAATCTCCAGGGATATTTGACTCCATTATTAGAGAAGAAGTTTTCATCATTTCATGGGAATCATTCAGAGATGCTAAATATACTGTAGTGTGGTTGGCAGCCTTGCAAGAGACTTGCCCTGTGTCTTGTATGATGTCCTACTACCCATCACACTTTCCAGGAAGTAAAACACTGGTTTCTAATTACCTGAACCCAGAATTAATTGCACATTTTTTCTGTTATTGTAGTGGAAGGCCTTGATTTCCCACTGAGAATAAAATCAGAGTGTTAAGTGAGGGATGATGGAGCTTTAAATTGTTCACAAATCTACCAGTTCAGAAAAGCTCAACACTGTCGGGGTTCTTGTCATGGACACAGCCTGTCCATTTGCAAGGTCTACCTGTGAGCTAGGCATTCGTTGATTCCACATATGGTCCAGATACCCAGCACTGTCGTCTTCTCATCAACTCTAGTTGGTCAAGCTGAGAAATTCTTGTTACGATCCACAGTGCCACTTTAATTTTCTGTTTTGTTAGTGACATTTTATTTTAGGTTATGTTACTGTTCACAAGATGTATTCACGGATTTTCTGAAAATCAATTTGCCTCCTAACAAAGTAGGCAAGTTTCATTATTAAAATTTTCACTTGTAAACATGAAAGGAGATACAAGTATTTGTTATAAAAGAGACCTTGAGTTGATAAGAAGGTTGATATCTGCTGTAACTCATTCCATGTCACCTTTGAGGTTGCTTATTTTCACTTACCTTCTGAACTATTGCTATCTAATATTTTTTCCTTATGTGGATGCTCTTTGATTTTCATAAACCAGAGTAAAAGAAAATTACTCAGACATTGTGGATCATTCCTGTATTCCTAATTAGTCAGGAGACAGACCTGGAGGCTCAAAATGCAAAGCCAGCCCAGGCAGAAAAATTTGCTAAACTCCATCCCAAAAATAACCAACAAAAAGCAGGGCTGGCTGGGAGAGTATCCACTTAGCCAGCTTAGGGTCCTGAGTTCCAATCTCAGTACCCTTTCCAAAACACAGAAAGGACTAAATCATTACTCTGCATGGAGAACCAGAATAACTAGCTTCAAATTGAACACAACAATGAACATGCAATTGCATTTGTTAAAATTTAAAGTTTAAAGAGAGGAAAGTATACCATGAAATTTAAGTTGTATCCAACCTAAATATCATTTACATAGCGCTGAGTAGCACTTACACTATTTCCTTTTATTTTCCAGATAACCCTTCAAATAAATGAATTATCTCATTTACCTAAAGAGAAAGTATTAGGCAGAAAAATGATTTAGCCTGTATGTGAGGTCATACAGAGTCCTCAGCTTATTTCCTCAGTCATCCTTCTATACTAACTTTTTAACCCATTGGCATACTATATATTTCCTTATTTACAAATATTTTTATTCAGTTATCTGATGACCTGGTCCAAAAAATGTCTTGTTCAATTTCTTTTACCACCGTACTATAGTTTTCAGTGTATAGACTTTCAGTGAACAGGTCTGTTAAGGTCCTTCTAACACTGAATTTATATAGACGTGTGTGTGTGTGTGTGTGTGTGTGTGTGTGTCTGTGTGTCTGTGTGTCTGTGTGTCTGTGTGTGTGTGTGTATGAGTGATGCTGTCAGTGGACTTCTTTTATATTCAGTTCAATATGACTCTGAAGTAGGTTTTTAAAATAGTTGAATATGTCCTATTGGTTTTTTAGAATGGAGCTCAGTGAAGCAAAACAAAGTCTTGGGGTTGCAGGATGTTGTATTATTTTCAAAATTAATAGTTTAAATTTATAGCATATGTGATTAATTGTTAAGAAATTTATATTGCACACATAACGGTTTCATATAAGATTCAAAGAGTATGTCATGTCAACCTCCATATTAAGAGAAAGAAGGAAAGAAGAAAGAAACATGGATAGCATATTCCTATCATCCCAGTTCTTGGAAGTCTAAAGCAAAAGGTTCATAAGTTTAAGGCAAACTTGGACCATGTAATGAGAAACTGTCTCAAAACAACAACAACAAAGCACCAACAAAAGCATAAAACTCTCAGAATGAATTCTACCAAGATGTACAGTGTAAGGCAGTGCCCTGAAAATCTTTATCACCACTAAGGAAGGAACTATTTTCTCTAAAAAGAAAATGTATTGACATTTTAAAATAAATTAATTATATTAAATTACATTAACTTTATTAAAATAAATAAAAATAAAATGACACATATTAGTTCTACAGGAGGGGTTTCTTTTGTGACATTTTCTTCTATCTATCCATCCATACATATGTACGTACATACAGTGCTTCTCAATCCAACTCCCCACCTCCCTCTCCCTCCTTCATACCCTTGTGGATGTACCTTCTCAAGAAAAGGAGTAAATTGGACTCCAGGGTCCATTGATCTACCAGCTTTCATAAATGCTCCCCATTAGATGGTCTCAACATAACAGACTCAACGTAATCAACAATGAGTTCATCCTCCTCATTCCCAAACCAATTTCCCCATTCACAAAAATGCACTACCATTTGACAAAATACACCAAGTAGAAATGAAAGGTCTTCTGTCTTTTTGTTTTTTCTCCCTATCACACACAGACTTGTTTGAATTAAACTTCTTAAAAACATAATCCTCTTTCTTTCTGTTGCCAGTATGATCCCCTTAAATCTTAGTGTTTTGCATCAGGATTGTCTCCTGACTCAGCTTTACCTTTTGTCACCTTATCTCCAATCAGAAGAGCCTCTTTGATGTTTTCTAATGCATCAAATGTTGAACATGTCAGTAAAATTCTTTAGGGAAAAATAAAAGTGATCCTTTATAATGCAATGAAATTCTCCCATAAAGTGCATTTCATGTTTGATAATAAAAATATGAGAGAAAAAACCATGAAAGTATGGACACCAAATAAGAGTTTCCAACATCATCATAGCTTGTAGTTACTTCATTAATCTCTAAATGTGGTCAAGTTTTAAAGTAGGCCAGTTAGAAATCTATTTCAACTTGAAATGCAAAACACAATTGGAGATCACAGAGAGAAAAGGTACTTTATCCTAAACTTGAGTAAGACCTGGAGTGGAAAAAAAATTTTTTTTAGCAAAACAAGATCAATGCAAGCCAAGAGGAAGGTAATGCAATGGTAAGTGCAACACTTCTTTTGTAAAGGGTTGCTGACGACATTGAAATCATCAACGCTGTTGAAGTTTCCCTGCATGGGAAGGGATTAGGGATTGGCAGCAATTGAGAACATCTCCCAAGACCCTGGAAAACAATGCAGAAATTTTATTCTTGCATCCTTGGAAGTCAGCAGGGCTAGTTTGTGGAGAGATTTCTGTTGAATTTTAGAAATATTTGTAAAGATCTCAAAGTGAATCTTCCTGAATAATTATAGAAGTTGAGACCCTGAAGTGTGTGTGTTTTTTTTCCTGTGGTATGAATGTTACCATATTCTGATAAACTGGTAGAGTTAAGAAAGCACAGTATAGCCGGGCACTGGTGGCTCACACCTGTAATCCTAGCTACTCAGGAGGCTGAGATCTGAGGATCGTGGTTCAAAGCCAGCCCGTACAAGAGAGACCGTGAGACTCCTGTCTCCAATAAACCACCAGAAAACTGGAAGTGGCGCTGTATCAAGTGGTAGAGTGCTTGCCTTGAGCTGAAGAGCTGAGGGACAGCGCCCAGGCCCAGAGTTCAAGCCCCACGACCGACCAAAAAAAAAAAAAAAAAGAAAGCACAGTATAATTTTCTAGTATTGCAATTATCTATTGCCATGTAAAAACTTATATCTTAGTTGCTTAAAATAGTTATTAATATAGCCTATAAATGTGTGAGTTAGATTCAGTCTGAGCTCAGGCAGATAATTTTTCATCTCTGTGGAGTTAGTAAAGCAGGTTGGTTTTTTGATGGTAATTAGTTGAAAAAAGCATCTTCATGTAAAATGCTTTACTTCTAGAGATCTAAGAAGGCCTACTTAGGAATAGCATCTTGGCAGCCTAGGATCAGTGAAGATAAAGAGTCCAGATGTGGCCTTTTTGCTGGGGAAAGCCTGGTTGTCTAGCATTCGATGAACCAAGCAGAAGCTGCAAGACCTTTTGTGACCTCATCCAGGGAGACCCATAGCATGATTTCTACCATACCACACTGACTAGTGGAGCCAAAGTGCCCTCATTAGAAAGGAAGCTCTAGATCCAAACTCTTGATATTAAGAACAGTGGAGAATGTACAGCCATGTAATATGCCTCCACATGATATATAGTGTAACATGTTTGTTGAGTCTGTATGTCTGTGGTCACAAGTATGCAGAGAATTTCATTCCGATGCTTATAAACTCAGCTGTTCCCATTAAGCCTGTAGGTGCTATCAAATAAGTACCGTACTTTTTTCTCCACTAAGTGTATGAGAGAAGAATAGGTCTATGTCACTATGGACTCCCAATTGCTTTCTCTGGTTTGATTCCCCTGAGACTGCATGACTTCAAATGGAACACATACATTACTCTGGATGGGTTGGCTGAAGATTCTGTGTGTGGGGACAGGGAGAAGAGGAGGTGATGGTTTTCTAGTGTAACTTCTTCCTGTATCTTTTACATTCCACAGGTGAATCTCACAGATAGTAAACAACTTCACTATGATACCTACAGGGAGACAAAGGGCTCAGAAAAAACCATGCTCGTGGGTAGCATGTGTGAGCTGTATGCGGAGTGGGCCTTGTAACTCCTCTTTCCTGCTTGCATGTATTCAGGCTTTGTGCTTGGAAGTGTAGGCAGCTTTCCCCTTCTGCCACTCAGATCAGAACGAGCCACTCAAAGAGAGAGCCTATTCTCTTTCTGTGATCATGGTTAAGGTAGTATTTTTCAATTAGTAGAGGATTTGCGCCAGTCCAGTCACTGAAGTGCTCTGTGATAGCCTATGCTCTTCAGCCTGGACGCTCAGAACAAAAGCAGGCTTCATGCTGATCAGGCTCCCAGCATTCTTCAGACACTGCTTAGCCCTTCCTGTCAAATATTAGTGTTCTCTCTTAACTGCATAACTAGATTCCTCTATGTGTTACCCCTTCCACATCATACTCGACACCTTCCTGAGAAAAGATAACTTCATAAAAGAGGAAGAGCTAACATTTACTAAGCATTCTTTGTGAGTGATCTTCTTGTGACTTCAGTTAATCCTTTCATTAACTCTTTGAAGCAAATCCTACTGACATCCCATTTCACCATTAAAGATACTGAATCACACTGAAGTTAAATGAAAGGCTGGGATCCAAGTCCTGACTGTCTGTCTCCTGACCCTTTAACTGTGAAACACCAAGCCATAATCACACCATGGCAAACCCAAACTTCTTACTTGGGAAGCCCATGGCTCCCTCCACCATGCTCCCTGCCTGCATCTCTTATCTGTGAGAGTAGATGGAATGCTTCCCAGGGATTGTTGTCTTGAAGAGACATTTCATGTTCTTGACCCTGTTGCTATTCTTTACAAACCAGAAAGAAAATATAACCACAATGTTGGAAGCTCTTTGGAGCTAAAGAAGTTCCCTTTCCAATAAGAGTACTTCTCATTTGAAAGATTGTCTCAGTAGTGGGAAGAAATGACAGGGAGAGGGAGGACCATGTCCTGGGATAGGTTCTCCTGTTACACTTACTTACACTCAAGTTTAAAACTAGCCTTGAAGGTTACAGTGAACAACAGTTAGATTCAGAAAAGTTCAGAGTAGGATCTCAGTTCTCTATGGCTCAGTAAGTATATTCCCAAGTTAAACAACTCTTTTTCTTTTACCTTTTACCTCCCTTTGCCTTCTTCTAAAAATGTTTTAAAGGTGATATGCAGAGGGTTTCAAGTTGCATAAGTTAGGTAAGGAGTATATTTCTTTTTGAGCCCCCTTCCTCTCTTTCTTCACTTTTCCCTCCCATCCCACCCACAAGTTGTATAGTTCATTTTCAACATATTGTCTAGTGAGTACCACTGCTTCATTTATTCACCCTTTGTCCCTCCATTTCTGTGTTCCCCTTACCCTCCTAAAGACAGATAAACAAGACAAAGGAAAACAAAACAGCAAAAAAGAAAAAAAAGCTTGTTTTTACTTCCTGAAGTTCATTTCATTAAATATTACTTTGTATGATCAGCTGCACCATGGGCATTATGAGTTTGTGCTCCTCCATGAATGCCTAGAGACTTGTATGATTTATTATATTCCAGTGTATTTTAGATCTAGCTTCCACATATGAGAGAAAACATGAGCCGTTTGACTGAGCTTGGCTTACCTCACTTAACATAATTTGTTCTAGGTTCATCTACTTCCCTGCAAATGATACATTATTCTTTTTAATGACTGTGTGTAGGCACCACATTTAAAAAGAAATCTACTTATCTATTATAGGATGTACAAGTGTCTTTGTGGTATCCTGGCTTGTGATGTTCTGGATGGATTCCCAGGAGTGGCACAGCTGGGTGGTAGGGAAGATCTGTGTTTGTCTGCTTATCTTCTTAAAAAGAGATTCAGTATCATGTAGATATTTAATGAGAAAATTGAAACATGGGTCAACAGCCAGTTATCCGGTCCAGCCACATAAGCTACAGAGCCCACTGCAGACCATTTTTATTGAAAGATTACTAAGGAATGTGAAGACAGCAAGGGCAGAACATGAAATGAAAATATGGGGCCCTTCTGATCATAGGCTCTTGGTGATTGCACAATACATATGCCCATGATGTAGGCCACAAACATAATAGCCATTCAGTCATCTATTCCCAAAGTGCCAGGTCCTCTGAGTCTCATTGTTAGGTTGTCCCCCGACTAAGAATATTACTCTCCACTCTGAATTCTCACTCTGACAGTAGCTAATACAACCATCATGACTCAATTCAAGTTCATCTTCATGGTGACCTTTTCTTTATATTTTCCATACACCTGGCACTGGTGCTCCCTTTTCTTTCCATTTTGTGACATAAGATTTTATTTGGGGAATATTTTCTTCTTTTCTACTTAAAGAATCTCTTTCAATTCTCAACCTTCACGGATAGATGTTCCCAACCCTCTGGGAAATGGCCAAGTTAGCTTAAGGCATCTTAATTTAGAATATGAGATTGACATCTGGGTGTTATCCATTAATGTCTCTTTGCTCTACCCTGAACCTGTCCATCATAATTGCATCTGAGAGACTGGACCAATACTGGGATAAAAGAGAGCAAACAGATAAGGCAGCCAAGAGAGAGGAATGGGTCCCTAGAGCACACTGGCAAGAAAAAGTAAGGTGAATATGGCTGGAGAGCCCGTC